GTTCACCTAACACAAAATCTTATTAAAAAGAATGAGGTGGATGGGTATGCACAACATAAAAAATTCTAGAAAAACTTTAAAAAGCAAATTGTAGAACAATATGTAAAGCATGATCCCAATTATTTAACAAAACAAAATAAGAGATGCCTGTGGCTGGGCTGGGCATGGTGGCTTACACCTGTATTCCCAGCACATTGGGAAGCTGAGGTAGGTGGATTGTTTGAGCCCAGGAGTTTCAGACCAGCCTGGGCAACATGGCAAAACCCCATCTCTACAAAAAATACAAAAAGTGGCCAGGCATGGTGGCATGTGCCTGTGATCCCAGCTACTACGGAGGCTAAGGCGGGAGGACCAATTGAGCCCAGGAGGTTGAGGAGGCAGTGAGCTCAGATTGCACGACTGCCCAGCCTAGGCAACCAAGTCAGTCCCTGTCTCAAAAAAAAAAAAAAAAAAAAGAGAAACATCTATAATTTTTGACTGCATCTACTGTTACTCTGCAGAAAGAAGTCTGGCAGAATGCAAACAGTGGGTTACATTGGGGAAGGAAAGATGGGTGAGGCTGTGGAGCCTTTCTGGTTTACTCTGTATAATTTGGAATTATTTGAAACTTTAAAAAATTTATTTAAGTTTTTTGTTAAGGACACAACATGAGATATATACTCATATTTTTAAGTGTGCAATGCAGTATTGTTAACTGTAGGCAAAATGCACAACAGAGCTCTCTAACCTATTTATCTTGCCTAACTGAAACCTTATGCCCATAAATTGAGACTGTATTTAGGTACTATCCAGCTATTTGAAAAAGAGAAGAAAATACAGCAAATGATTCATAGACGTTCCTCCATCGTCCCAGCTTTGTGGTGTCTTGTGAGAGAAAATTGCTAGAACAGTTGAACAGCATGTAGTTTTGAAGTGCTTATTTGCATTGTTTTTTCATGGCAAAAGGTGACTGAGGTTAAACTTGAGCTATTGCTAAACAATAAGAAGCTGTAGCCAGTGTGGTGTCACATGCCTGTAGTCCCAGCTACTTGGGAGGCCAAGGCGGAAGGATTGCTTGAGCCCAGGTGTTGAGACCAGCCTGGACAACATAGTGAGACCACAGTCTCTTAAAAAAGCCATGATATGAAATAGAATGTAGCAGTTTCTGTTCATTCCCCTTTGTCCTTTTGTTAATTTCGAAGTCATCAGATATTGGTTGAAGAAAAATGGAGCATTTAATTTGCTTAATAATATTTATATAATTAAATTTATTTGTAGTATTTTCTAGCAGGTCTACCTTGGTTAGAGACATTCAGTATCTGAGAGGCACATTGATCATTTCTGGGAAGAAAGCGTCACACCACACTACCAAATGCTCTTGCGTATTTTATTCCATTGAATCATTTTAAGAGCTATGGGGAAGGAAGGCAGGCAGCATGATTGCTGCTGAACACAGGAGTAAACAGTCCTGGAGGAATTAATGACATAAATGGAGTTATAGAACTAGTAAGTGACAGGGTCAGAACTGATGGAGCCAGGCTCTCCAATTTCAAATTTAGTTCTCTTCCTACCCAGCACAGGGGTGTTCAATGTAGCAGAGCTTCCCCAGAGTAGAATGTATTGGGATCATATTTTGTGCCATTACCAGTTTTATTCCAATACAGCCTCAAATTGTTGAAAGGTGTCATGAGAGAACTTTAGGCTTGAAGATGAGGATCAAATAACAAATATAAAAGAACTTTCTTGCAAAACATTTTACAAATATGATGTTGTGTTTTGGTTATCATGCATGTAACAACACCTTCCATCTCTTCTTGGTATGCTTGTGAGAAGTACGTGAGAGCTCTGCTCTCTCTTGCCTGGGAAAACCGATGCAGTGGAATAAATGAGGCGAGAAGGGGACAGAGCCAGGAAAGGAGGCTTGTGAACTTATATTTGGATCAAATGGACTCCCTGCCAGTAAAAGAACCTTCTTTCTAGGAGGGATGGGCTAAGAGGTAGCCCCAGGCTAGAGCTGGGAGTAGCTGACAGTCAACTCTCACAAAACCGGCAGTTACACAGGTGATTAAAAAAGATTTTCAAAAACAATTTTTATTTGTGGCCATGGATCCCTGACATAGAGTCCTTCTCAGAGACTGATTTTCCTCATCGGCCTTGTAAATATGTGCTTATTTCTCCCATTTCTATCTAGCATCGCTGAGTTGAAACTGAAGTTATATTTTTAAATTACCAAATAGATATAACATTTCTATTTTAGACATGACATTAAGGGGCTCTTCTTCTCTTGAGTGGGCAGACTTGGAATGACAAGCACTGTTGGGATTGTGCCTATCCTCAGGTGCCATGTTATTGGAACTGGAATAGTAGAGGCATATACAGGGCTCAGATCAAGTGGAGTTCATGAGGCCACTGCCACACAGTTACATACAACTTCCTATATCTTTGGGTCTGTGTGAGGTTTTGTGATCAGCTCACTTACTAAGGTGAAGCTTTGTGTTTCATTATTAGCCTTTTAGGTCATGTGCTCCTTTGAACATTGAGTTTCTTAAGAACAAACTAGATTATCACCTTCTTGTTCTGTTAGGCATTCAGAATAGACAGTCTTGAGAACCAAATTCCTTCATATACTCAAAGGGTCAGAGCATGGGATATGGTAGTTCAGGAACAAAGTCATTCATCCATCCACTCATTCAACATGTATTATATGCTAAGACCAATCCTGTTCTTACGTGTCCCTCACAGTCTTGTGGAGAAGGAGAAGAAAAAATACGAAAATAACTGTTCCATGACCATGTGGTAAGTGAAGCACCTGATGCATAGTAGGTACTCAAAAATGGGCCACGAATGGAAGTGTCATGACAGGTGCATGAACGAGGCCCTACATCAAGACCTTGAGCAGAGTTTCCTAACCTTGGCACTACTGACACCAGATAATTCTTTGTTGTGGGGGCCGCCCTGTGCATTGTAGGATGTTTAACACATCCTGGGCCTCTGCCTACTAGATGGCTATCGCACCCCTCCCCTAACCTGACAATCAAAGATGTCTTTGCCAAATGTCTCTTGCCAAGGCAAACTGCCCCATTGAGAAGCAGTGGCCCAGAGGGACATAGGACCATCATGTCATGTTTGGCAGAACCATGGAAGCATAATCAGGGTAGGACATTCTTAATTGATTGATAATTCAGCCTTAGCCTAGGTTTTTTTTTTTTTTTTTTTTTTTGAAAGAGCTAGGTCTCACTCTTACTCAGGCTGGAATACAGTGGCATGATCATAGCTCACTGCACCTTTGAATTCCTGGGCTCAATAATCTTCCTACTTCAGCCTTTCAATTAGCTGGGACTACAGGCACACACTACCTTGGCTAACTTTTAATTTTTAAAATTTTTTTAGAGATGGGGTCTTGCTGTGTTGCCCAGGCTGGTCTGAAACTCCTAGGCTTAAGTGATCCTCCTGCTTCAGCCTCTCAAAGTGCTGGCATTACAGACATGAGCCATCACACCCAGCCCTTAGCTTGATGTATCCCTAAGAAACACGGCATCTGACAATGGCTTAGGTAAAGGCTCGTCTGTTTATTTTGTCAAAATTTGTATTGATTCCCATCCCCCTCCTCATGGCAGAAATAATGCCGTGTATCCTGTATCCGTTTCCTTCTGGGCCCATTTTCCAGCCATTCTTTCAGGTGAGTGGAGCCAGGAGACTGAGTTCTGGCCAGTGGAATATGGGCAGGGATGATGCAGCTGTTTTCTGGCCTTGCCCTGATGGAGTCTCTCATGTGATTCTTTACTCTGCCTCTCCTGGTTTGTCCACCTGCTCTAGCAGAGGACCCTGAGATAGATGGGGAGACCTGAGGCCCAGAATGACTGTGTAGATCACAGCCCTCCACCAATGCCAGTCTGCTTCTGACTGCAACATGAGAAAGAAAGCAACTGTCACTGTGTGACACTACAGAGATGAGAAGGGGACGTTTGGTGGTGTTGTTAGCTTTCCTGATTAAGATACTCTCTCCTGCTCCCTTTGCCCACTGGGTATCAATAACATGCCATAAAAATGCTTTCAAATTGTACTCTTCTTGGGTCACTCTGGTGACCTACACATGGCATAACCTTAGGTATACCCCATTATAGGCAGTTCCTATGATAGAATTATGTACCTTCCTAGCTCTACGTGGTTTTTCTTTTCCAAATGTTTATTGGAAGGGATGAATGTTTGCATCTCCTTTCATCTGGCCCTTTGGGATTAGTAGGACCATAGTCACAGAATAAGGAGTTCTGGTTACAACCCAAGCAGAAAACGATTCCTGAATGTTGAGTTCATAGTAGCTTTATTCCCCACAGTTCAAATGGTGACATTCTTCAGGCAGAGGAAGAAGAACAGTCAATCCTTTTATTTAATTTTGGCAAGACTGCGGTTTACAGTGCTCTGGGGAAATGCAGCCACAGATGTGTCAACCTTTCGAAAAATTCTTGGCAGTCTAACCTTGGAGTCATAAACCAAAACACAGACAGTGCATCCCTGAGAAAAGCTCGTGTTGGCTGCATTGCATACCTCTATTCCACCTTCCAAGATCATCATTCTTGTGATCTTTGCTTGTGAAATGCAAGTTCTGTTTATTTTAATCAGTATTTATTTCCTAGATGATCTGGGTGTGTTGTGGTTTTCAGCATGTTTGACAGTTTTATGATTAGCTCAGCAATCACTCTATATTATTCATTCCCAAGGTATGGATAAGCACAAGGGAGTTACTCTTTTCCAATTCCGTATTAATGTTAGACCTCTGTCAAGCAGCATCATAGGTAGGTTAAGCACATGGACCCTAGAGCCCTACTGCATGGTTCTTGCCCCAGTTCAGCATCTTACCTACTGCATGACTTTGGGGAAAGTTACTTAACCTTACTGTGCCTTGGCTTCAGGAACAAGAGTAGTACCTACTTCCTAGAGCAGTTGTGAAAACCAAAGAGGTTAATTTTGTATATGGACTTTAGAGAAGTGCCTGGTACAATATAAGTGCTTATAAATGTTTTCTGTCAGCATTACTAAATGACAGAAACTATGTTTTCATATATTTTAATTACATGATAATCAAAAGGAGAACTAGTTACCGTTATTTAATTCCCTTGCGCTTTTAAAAGACTTAATTAACTAGAGTTATTATAACTCCTTTTGGGAAAAATTTCTATTTTTACACGTACACAGATAGGAAAATGTATGAAAGCATACCAAAAGGTTAATAGCATCATCTCTGGGGGGTTTGATTATGAATGGTCTTAATTCATTTTTATTTTTTTCTTAATTGGATTTACAGATTAGTTGTAGAATTTTAACAGAGCAAGGAACTCAACTAATAGTTCTAGCACTTTCAGAGAATACTATTCATATTATATTTGCATGTGATTTGTGTGAAATTTCACATAAAGCATATTATGCCTTAACTTTTTGTGATTCTTTCCTCCTGTGTTTTCTTCAAGTGAAAGCGTCGGTAGCATCAGTGATACAAATTGTCATGTACAGACACAGAATTTAACTCTACATTTCATGTAACTGCTCTTTTTTTTTTTTTTTTTTTCTGGTGATGGAGTTTTGTTCTTGCTGCCCAGGCTGGAGTGCAGTGGTGCAATCTTGGCTCACTGCAACATTTGCCTCCCAGATTGAAGCGATTCTTTTGCCTCACCCTCCCCAGTATCTGGGATTACAGTAATGCGCCACCACGCCTAGATAATTTTGTATTTTTAGTAGAGACAGGGTTTCACCATGTTGGTCAGGCTGATCTTGAACTCCTTACCTCAGGTGATCCACCTGCCTCGGCTTCCCAAAGTGCTGGGATTACAGGTGTGAGCCATTACGCCAGGCCATAACTGCTCTTCAAATAACTTTGTTCCTTTGTTTCTTTCCTTTGCCTGTGGTGTCTGATAATTCTGCTAATCAGCTGGATCCTTGCCAGTCACCCTAATTTAGTTGTAGGACACAGAGCTAATACCAAGGGGACCAATTCCTGCTTCTACCTTGAAAAATACACTTAACATCTGCGGTCCCTAGAGATGAATGAATGATGTCCCTGTGACAGAAATGTGAGGGTGGTTAACTAGAACTCTCACAGTCTACTTGATCTTACTCAAAGTCTATAAAAGGAAATCTCTTGATGAGAAAGGGAAGAGTTTGAAAATGTGCCTTTAGTAATATTTTTGCCTCTATCAGAAGGGAGAGCTCATGACTCAGGTGGAGTAATGATGACCATCTCTTGAATGATTTCTATGTGCCACTGCTTTAAAAATCTGTTCCCAGCCGGGCATGGTGGCTCATGACTGTAATCCCAGCACTTTGGGAGGCCGAGGTGGGTGGATCATGAGGTCAAGAGATTGAGACTATCCTGGCCAACATGGTGAAACCCTGTCTCTACGAAAAAAAAATTAGCTGGGCATGGTGGCATGCACCTATAGTCCCAGCTACTTGGGAGGCTGAGGCAGGAGCATTGCTTGAACCTGGGAGGTGGAGGTTGCAGTGAGCTGAGCTCGTGCCATTGCACTCCAGCCTGGCGACAGAGCAAGACTCTGTCTCAAAAAAAAAAAAAAAAAAAAAATCTGTTTCCAACTGTTCACCACAACCCTATGAGGCAGGGGAAGTAATGACAGTAACAACTATGATGACAATAATAACCAGCAGCTAACATTTGCTGAGCACTTACTATATGCCAGCCACTAAGCTAGGCTGTCTATGTAATTATCTAATGTCAGCCATGTCAAATACCCAAGACATAGGTCCTACTGTAATTCCCATTGGACAGATGAGAAGGCTGAGTCTCAGAGAGGGAAACTGACACAGCTAAGATTTGACTCCGGGTCTGTCTGACTTACAGTTGGGTGTTAATCATGCTATTATATTACTCAATCATTCTATAATCAGCTCTTTTGTTTTGGAATTTAGTGCTGAATGTTTTAATTTATCTGATGATATAGATATCTTTTCATCTTCTTTGTTCTTTCTTAATCTGAAGCTTTATAAGTATGCTCTAATAGAAATTCTCTCTTTATTTGGTCTTTATAACCCAGCCTTTGGGGCAGTCAAGATAGGGATCACCTGAGCTTTACCTATGAGGAAAATGAAGCCCAGAGACATGGACTTTTCCCAGCACACACAGCCATGAGTGGCAGCAGCAGGGCTAGAACGGATGTCTTCAGATTCCTGGTCCATTGATCATTCAACTCTACCATTGTTCTGATGCTTCATTCTCACAAGTCAGCTGTCTTTTTCTTCTTGCCCTCCAAGGATTTGTTTTTAGTAAAACAAACACCATTTTGTGTTATTTTTTAGTAGTTTATTAGAATTGGGATGTGCACATAGGATGAGGCAGAATATGGAAAGGAGATGGCCCTCGACGAGCTTTCACACTTTCAGTCGTGTTTATCAGGAGGTGTTCACTAAACCCAGTGGTTCAATTGTGTTTATTTATTTCTGGAACCTGGGAATGCAATGGAACACTCAATACTTAGGAGGCTGACCTGCTTCCAGGTCCCTGCACTACTTCTGCAGTCCTTGGTCCAGCTCTTGCTGAAAGCAAAGCTTCAGACCACGTGTCAGCAAATGATTCCTTCCTCAAGAAGTTGCCCTGAAGCCATTTCTCTATATGAAGGCTTTTAGTTTATCACTATACTAGAAACTCAGTTTACCACCGAATGAAGTTTTTTAGAAGAGGCTGTTATTATTTCTTTTAAAGAGAGGTATCAGAGGACAGGGGTTGGTAGAAGCAATAAAGAAAGCCATTAATATAGATTGAGAATTAGGCTGCTGTTTTCTAGTGAGGATGGCAGGAGGGAGGTGTGTTCCAGCCCACAGGGTGACTTGGTTGTCCTGACCGCAGTGAACTGCTAGGGTAAAGGCAGCAGTCAAACTGGCTGCTAGATAGTCTCTGGGCGCTCCCAGGGAATTGGGTCCATATTGTGGTCCCTTTTTGGAATCAAATTTTGAGATGTAATCTCAGAAGGAGAAATAGAGTTATGAAAGAAGGAATGTAATAGAGAAGAAAGAATCTGAAGCTGTGGGTTCTAATCCCAGCGATGTGCTTTATTACCTATGTGAGTTCAGGAATGTCACTTAACAGCTCTGGGCCTCAGCTTCCTCATCTGTGGAATGAGGTGGTTGGACTGGATCAGTGGTACCTGACCCTCACTATACATCAGAATCACCAGGGAAACTTTTATTATTATTATTATTTTTGGAGACAGACTCTTGCTCTGTCGCCAGGCTGGAGTGCAGTGGGGTGATCTCAGCTCACTGCAACCTCCACCTCCCAGGTTCAAGTGACTCCCTTGCCTCAGCCTCCCAAATAGCTGGGACTACAGGTGCATGCCACCATTTCCGGCTAATGTTTTGTATTTTAGTAGAGACGGGGTTTCACCATGTTGGCCAGGATGGTCTCTATCTCCTGACCTTGTAAGTCACCCTCCTGGGCCTCCCAAAGTGCTGGGGTTACAGGCGTGAGCCACTGTGCCTGCCCAGGAAACTCTTAAGAAATACCGGTGACTGGGCCCTATCCAATTTAAATGAATGTAATTGGTGATTAATTGGCTCCAATTTAATTGGTGTGGGTACACCCTGGCATCATTATTCCCAAAGGCTGTCCAGGGGATTTGATTGTGCAGCCTGAGTTGGATCAACTTAGAGACATCCTCTAGTTTTATATCTAGAGTTGATCTCTAACCAAGGGATTTATAGATGACACAGCAGCTTGTAAATGGGTTTACTGTAATGAAGCACACTGATCATTTTTGTCTTGGAAGACAGAAAAGTTATTAAAGATTTATTGAAGCTATGCCATTGATTTGTAAGATAGTTCTCCAGGGAAAGCCATAAAAGGCTTTTTTCATGAGACTAAAGATTGGGAGAAAGATGCATAGAGAGTTTAATATAGTCAGAAAAGAGGAATTATTTGTTTTTAGATAATTGGAAGTGTTCTCTCTAAGAAGTTTATGCTAGGAGAATTTGTTCATAGGCCTAGAAGAGAATGTTTGGCTTGCAAACTATTTTTAAGGTAAACAGCAATTACTACTTCATATCACCTTTTAAGTCCAATGGGAAAAAGTTATATTTTGATGAATGCCAAATTACTAGGTCTGTTTCTAGGTTAAAATTCCAGTCCTTACAAAAGTAAGTTATTCTTTCTTGGGAATCAGATTTCCCCAAACCAGATTTATGTTTAAATGTAATGTAATGCAGATTGGCTGAGAGTGATGGCTCACATCTGTAATCCCAGCACTTCAGCAGGCTGAGGTGGGCGGATCACTTGAGGTCAGGAGTTCAAGACCAGCCTGGCCAACATGGCAAAACCTTTTCTCTACTAAAAATACAAAAATTAGCTGGGTGTAGTGGCAGTTACCTGCAATCTCAGCTACTCGGAAGGCTGATGCAGGAGAATCACTTGAACCCGGGAGGCAGAGGCAGTGAGCTGAGATCACACCACTGCACTCTAGCCTGGGTGACAGAGTGAAACTCAGTCTCAAAAAAAAAAAAAAAGTAATGCAGAAACATAAGATTAATTTAGTGTTTTTATTTACTTAGTTTCAAAGTATTAAACATACAGGAATTAGGCTAAATTATTTTATGGCTTATACTTGAATAGCAAAAGCAAATTGAGATGTGTGGCATAAAACCTGGTACCAAAGCTTTCCAAATAAGTCCTTTCTGTTCAAATCTTTGGTGTCTCAGATCCACAAAGGCAGTTGTCATTCACCCAGAAGTGGGTCATGGTAAATCCAAAGCCCAAGTCATCTCCCTCCTCTTCCCTTTTCTCCCTCCCCGCCACACACATTAAAAGCTTTGGTGATATAATCCTCTTTTGTATCAGAAGAATCTAGACAAGATTCTGAACTGTTGTGTTCTTCCTAACAGGAAGTCACCATCTGTATCCATGAGGAACTTCACATTTGTTTTGATTTTTAGAGCCCATGATCTATAACAATTCTATAATTTAACCAGGAAACGTGGATAGTAAATGATCTCATGCTGCATCAGGTGTAAGCAGATATAATTAGAAAAGAAGTGCTTTAGAAACAACCGATGCTTATCTTCATTACCAGCCCTTTACCCTTTTTCCTAGAAAAGGATAGAAAATTGAGTCATTTGTATTTTAAATCCTATGGGGCTTAAAACATAAATATATTGGGTATTAGCTATGCTGTACAGAAAACCACAACAAACCTAAAAGCATACTGAAGAAAACAAAAATGACCCTAAATTAATCACCTAGATAGTCATGTAAGCATTAGAAACTTAAATATCCAAAAAGAGGAAAAAAGACTATTCTCTAGATATCTACTTTTAATAGGAAAATAAACAAGGACAATCTTAGATTTTTCAAGAGCATCTCTGGAGACCGTCTCCTTCTACTCCTTATTCAGGCTTACCCATTGGGATACGCTCAGAAAAGCAGTATTTGGTCTTAATAATGATATGTCAAAGATTACATAAGTTTAAATGCTGTATCATTGAAATTATTGTATTTACAGGGAGGAAAAAGCCAATTGTGGATACAATTGATTAAAGCTGATTTCCCTGTTTCTGCTTCTTTCATTTCCATTTAATTTTTTTTTATCTCTGAGTATCAAACTAGGGTCATGATCTGAGCCATGGAGAGCTGCTTCCATCAGTGCCATGTGGTGGCAGTGCTTTTTGCACACTGCCTGAATGAAGCCCAGAGCTCGATTTGCCTTCCAGAATGCAGAATGTCCTCAGGGAACAGTTTAAGGGACCAAGATCCTTTCTCTAGATGTAACCAACCCCTCAGAAACCAACATTTCATAAATAGAGATGGAACTTTCTTTTTAAAAATGCATTCTATGACACACACGGACATGCATCTACTACTTTTGGGGGTTTGTTTATATCTTTGTGGAATTGTGTATTTATTATTCATATCCAGTAAATATCTTAAAAGTTGTTTGGTCTTGTAAAAACTTCTTCATAATGTAAGTAATAGGTGACAGCATACAACAAGTAGATATAGCCATCAAATTACAAACAATAAAACCTGAAACTGACAAATGTTCGAGAAGACATAGATAAATAGGATCTCTCACACACTGCTCCTGGAAGTGTAAATTGTTACAACTATTTGTAGCTATTTGAAAATAGGCTGAAGCTGTGTATACCCCACAATTCTTTTTTTTAAATTGTATTTTAGATTCTGGGGTACATATGCAGATCATGCAGGATTGTTGTATAGGTACACACATGGCAATGTGGTTTGCTGCCTCCATCCCCCTGTCACCTATATCTGGCATTTTTCTTATCCCTCTCCAACCTCCCCCATCCCCCGCTGTCCCTCCCTTTGTCCCCCCAAACAGACCCCAGTGTGTGATGCTCCCCTCCCTGTGTCCATGTGTTCTCATTGTTCATCACCTGCCTGTGAGTGAGAATATGCGGTGTTTGATTTTCTGTTCTTGTGTCAGTTTGCTGAGAATTACGATTTCCAGATTCATCCATATCCCTACAAAGGACACAGACTCATCATTTTTAATGGCTGCATAGTATTCCATGGTGTATAATTGCCACATTTTCCTTGTCCAATCTATTGTCGATGGGCATTTGGGTTGGTTCCAGGTCTTCGCTATTGTAAACATTGCCGCTATGAACATACGTGTGCATGGGTCTTTATAATAGAATGATTTATAATCCTTTGGGTATATACCCAGTAATGGGATTGCTGGGTCAAATGGAATTTCTATTTCTAGGTCCTTGAGGAAGCGCCACACTATCTTCCACAATGGTTGAACTAGTTTACACTCCCACTAACAGTGTAAAAGTGTTCCTGTTTCTCCACATCCTCTCCAGCATCTGTTGTCTCCAGATTTTTAAATGATTGCCATTCTAACTGGCGTGAAGTGTGATACCTCAATGTGTATACCCCACAATTCTATGTTGTGATTTCCCTTCTGGTTTTATCCCCTGGGAAAAAATTTGTGTCTGTGTAAAAGGGAACAAATGTGAGAATGCTCATCATAACATTGTTTGTCAAGAAAACAAACCTAACTGACATGGAGAAATAACTTGTGGTATTTTGCATGCAATGGAATACTATATAGGGGTGAAAATGATGGAATGCATTGTATCAACATGAATAAATCCCCCAAACATAATGTTGAATGGAAAAGGTGAGTTTCAGAAGGATATATATGCCCTCTGATTCCATTATGCAAACCTTTAAAAAGCTATATTATTTATGGCCATAAGCTCATCCAGTAAATATTTAAAAACCTACATGGGATTGCTAACTACTGATAACAGGATAGTGGTTTACTGTGAAGTGGAAGGGTAGGTAATGGGGCTAGGGCTTTGCTTGAATCTTTATGTTTCATTTCTTGATCTGAGCAGTAGGTATATGGGTGTCTGTAACGTTATTGTCTAAACTGTTTTGTATGTTTCAAGTATTTCATAGTTTAATAATAGAAAAGAAATCCGCCGGGTGTGGTGGCTCACCTGCCTGTAATCCCAGCACCTTGGGAGGACAAGGTGGACAGAATACTTGAGGTCAGGAGTTCGAGACCAGCCTGGCCAACATGGTGAAACCCTATCTCAACTAAAAATACAAAAAGTAGCTGGGCATGGTGGCATGTGCCTGTAATTCCAGCTACTCGGGAGGCTGAGGCCAGAGAATTGCTTGAACCCCGGAGGCAGAGGTTACAGTGAGCTGAGATCGCGCCACTGTACTCCAGCCTAGTAGACAAAGTAAGACTCTATCTCAAAAAAAAAAAAAAAAAAAAAAAAAAAGGAAAAAAGAAAAGAAATCAAATAACTTGAAACCCTGTTGTAGTTTTATCAAAATAACAGTAGTAAACAAAAAATCAGGACTAAGAGAAGGAAATCTGATGGAGGAACATGAAATGATCAGATTGCCTAAAGAAACCTGTTGAAAGCAAACTCAGACAGAATGAGCACAGCCTTAGATGGTGAGGATGATGTCCTTTTCCCAGACTTCTCCAGAACCCTTATTTTGTGACTGTCGTATCCACTGAAAGACCAAAGAGGAGAAAACTGAGGAGAGAGGATGTGTCTTTAGGCCAGAGGAAGGTCGCGATCTTCCAGAAGAATGAGGGCAGAGAATGGTTTTTAAAGCTACATGACCCACAGGTGATGGGAATTTGAAGTCTTAAGTAAAACTTCCATCCTCTTGAAAGTTTTTTATCCTTAAAGAGAATATTTAGTTCCCATTACACAGTATTCTTTGTAGTTTTGTCTCCTACCTTTGTGTTTTCAGCTATGGCTGAAGAAGTTTAGGAGCCTCCTTCCCTACCCTCTTCCTCCTCCTCTTGTGTCTGCTACACAGCACCGGTAGGTACCATGGGGGAAAAAGAAAAATGAAAGTACAAAGCAGATCCTAGTGGGCAACTCCAGGACACAGGGCAGTTAGTCTCACATTATCTGCCTTAGGTCACCAGTCTCTTGGTCGAACCTTTATTTATTTCTCCTTTTCCGCTAGGTGCTGTCCTTAGCTATAGCAGAATCATAGAAGAGAGGATTTGAGTCATTGAAGCATTTTACTATTAGGATTTTGGTATAGGATGAGATCTTAGCCACAGAGTGCAGTAGTACATTTTACAGATGGCAAAAGTGAGATTCTGATGTATAAAGCAGCCTGCCTCAAGACGTGGTAGAGCCCAGAGCCCGGCCTTCCCACCCTCCACACCGGGTGCTTCTGTGACACCGGATCGCCTCTCTGACCTGTTGTGCTTTCTAGTCCTCACCTTTGGCCTTCCAAAGTGCTGGGATTATAGGCATGAACCACTGTGTCCAGCCTCTAGCAGCTATTTTTATAATAATTCAAATAATGTTAACTTAGGAGAATATATTCTCCAAGTTGTTTTTGTAAAAATGACTTTGACATTATATAACATAATCTTAAAAACCCACCAGGATAGCAAATTATCAGTTCTAGGCCTACCTGTGAGTCAACATAAAGTAGACTCCTGAATGCCCCTTTAATAAAGGCTGTTAAACGTGTTAGAGGTTTTAATGCTGAGTTATACTAATAGGTAAAAGTTTAAGGGAAAGTCCTTCTGAGACTGATCGCTGTGGGCAAACTAAATGCTTTAGCTGAGAGTATGCTTATAACCCGTTTTTTTCCAGAAATGTAATCAGCCCAACATAGGAATTAATTGAAGCATTCATTGTCCAGTTGTGCAACCTCCTCACCAAGGTAAAGGGTATTTGTGATTGAGTCTGGCTACCAAGCAAATGATCAATGTCTACCTATGACAACTCTGTTGCATTTCCTTCTTTAGATTATATTTCTTGTCTTGAAATACACAATGACAATACTTTGATAATTGGAGAAAAAGGCAGAGAAGTAAGAAAAACCTTCCCATCATATGGCAAACCCATTTTCTAGGCTAACAACTATGATACCAAGAACATCATAGTGGCTAGTCTAACTCCTTATTGGATCATAACACTGTAGAATTTATAATAAAATATTTAGCCATATTAATAACAGAAATTTCTTTCCTGGAGAAAATTGGATATAATGTTATTCAAATTTAAATATATGGTAAAGAAGAAATAAAAGCTGTGAGGGAATTAAGGCCTGCCATAAAGAAAAGATTAGAACATGACTGTTGTCTTTGTTTCTACATTTTAAAATATTTTACACTTTCATTCTTATATAAGCTTTCTAGATTACTTTCAAAGTAACTTATATTGTGTAGAGTTTTTGCTGACATGAATAAAGTGATCTTGAATATTCTTCAGTTACACTTTTAATAAATTATTTTTATATATAAGGTTACTATGAAGAACAGCCTTCTACAGCTTGTTAAAATAGAGGTAACTTTTTGTTCTAAGGCATTCACTCTCTTGTTACTTCCTTTGTATTCTCTAAGGCCTCTCCCTGCCTTTGGAGATTTGCCTGTTTGGCACAGTTCTGATTTTCTCTGTAGAATGTCATTTTCCCTTGGGAGGTGAGATTTGAGCTTCCTTTGCATATTGGTGCTTTCTCCTATTACAAATATAAAAATAAAAAAAATTTCTCAGTGATTTACACTACATGATCCATTTGATGAATTATTTTTCCTGCTCTTTGCAGACCATGATTATCCTCAGGATTCTTTCGTTGGGGTCTCGTTTACTTTCACAATGTCAGAAAATTTTGCTTTATTTATCATTTTTAAAACAGTTCTCAAATCCCTTCTGAATTTCTTACATTTATGAATGTATACGATGCATTTATTAGTCAGGATTATTTTTTGGACGCGAGTAACAGAAACCCCACTCAAACTAGCTTAAGCAAAAGTGACTTTATGTTCTGGAAGTGGGCGGTAGTGATACCATACAACAATGTTAATGTGCCCAATGCCCCAGAACTAGCCACTTGAAAATGGCTTTAAAAAAGTAACTTTAGCCGTGCGTGGTGGCTCATGCCTGTAATCACACCCAGCACTTTGGGAGGCTGAGGCAGGTGGATCACCTGAGGTCAGGAATTCAAGACCATCCTGGCCAACATGGAGAAACCCCGTATCTACTATTTATACAAAAATTAGCTGGGTATGGCGGGCACCTGTAATCCCAGCTACTTGGGAGGCTGAGGCAGGAGAATTGCGTGAACCTGGGAGGTGGAGATTGCAGTGAACCGAGATTGCACCATTGCACTCCAGGCTGGGTGACAGAGCAAGACTCCGTCTCAAAAAAAAAAAAAAAGACTTCACTCCCTTCCATATCAGGAAGTCTAAAGTGATGTGAGGTAATTGTGTTTTTTTCCTCTATCCCTTGGACATTTAATATTTAATTTCTCAGCATCCCTTTCTTAAGCTCCAAAAGTACAGGTTTTCATTAGTCCATGGCAGAAATATGTGGTTGGCTTTATGGAGAAGGTGACCCTTCAACTGTGGTTATTGGTTTGGGAACAATTAAAAGAAGAGTTTGAGCCAAGAAGTGAAGTTGGGAAAGCCCAGGTAAATGGTTCTCTTTGGCTGTAGAATGCCATGTTCAATGGCTGAAGGGGAGTGGTACAGCTAAGCTCCAAAAAGGTAGCAGGGAATAGCAGGAAGTCCCACTGGTATTTCAGACATCCCTGAAGAATGGAGGGAGGGTAGGTGAGGGTCAGTAGTTGGTGCCTTAAAGAAGGCAGTTGGGCCAGGTGTTGTGGCTCATGCCTGTAATCCCAGCACTTTGGGAGGCCAAGGTGGGTGAATCACGAGGTAAGGAGTTCAAGACCAGCCTGGCCAAGATGGTGAAACCCTGTCTCTACTAAAAACACAACAGTTAGCCAGGTGTGGTGGCAGGTGCCTGTAATCTTAGCTACTTTGGAGGCTGAGGCAGAGAATTGCTTGAACCCCGGAGGCAGAGGTTACAGTAAGCTGAGATCATGCCACTGCACTCCAGTCTGGGCAACAAAGTGAGACTTTGTCTGAAAAAAAAAAAAAAAAAAAAAAAAAAAGGCAGAGACACCTGCTTCTGGGAATTTGTAAGGGGAAAAATGTTGGAGAAGAATAATCTCGGTAAACATCTTTCATTCCTTCTATTGGAATGTCTTTTTTATCCTTTTGGGTACAGGACAGTCTTCCATCTCTTTGCCATTTTGCAAGAAAGACCTCTTCTGAAATATCCCAGGCAAATGAGAATCCGTCTATTTTGGTGCCCTGAGCTTGATCATTATTCTTTCCTTTTATTTTATTCTAGTGTTTTCATTGTGATTTTCATTAGTTAAAAACTCTTATGTAAATATTCGCACTATTGCCCGTCTTACTCCATCCATCAATAGGAAGCAGAGGGAACAAATGTTTCAGTCCAGAAGTGAAGGGCTTTGTGGCTGAGTGTTCTTTCTTTGGGGGCCAATTACTCCAATGTTTTTGGAAACTCTGTGGGAGTTGTGTATTCTGAGCTGAACCATAGACTTTTTAGATCTGGAAAGAACCTAAAAAAATACATACTGTCCAACCCATTCATTTAACAGATGAGAAAACCTGAATCCCACAGTTGTTAAATAAGCCTCTCATACTTTTATTACCTGAAAGGATAAAAATCTCAAGGGTGCCCCTCGAGAAAGAGCAGATGAGTGACTCAGAACTATTATAGCTCTGCAAAAAAGGGGGAAAATCACCTCTTCTGGACTTGTTACCCAGACATTTTCCTGTTGTTTAATTTGTCAGCTGTTTTATACAACAATTTCAAGTGTTTTTCAGATACCCAATTGAGTGTGCTATTTTTGCTGCCTCTCTGCAGGCGAGTCTGCTATGTCATTCGTGCAAATACTACTCTTTCTCTAGTTCAATCACTTGAATTTTGGTGGGCTATGAGGACTCCAGCATTTTCTATATTAAAGAAGTTGTATATGTTCCCCCATCAAAATCCATTTTGGGAGCTGTCCACCCTTAGTGAAAATCCAAATCACTGGATTGCTTTTGAGCCTTAAAAAGTGGCTCTATTTTGAATGACATCCTCGCAGTATTTACATGAGATCTGACACTCTGGATATTTCTTTGCATATTTATTAGTTTTGACTGATTGAAAAACACAACACATTAGTCAGTAAACAGGAGATAATTGTGATTATTTAGATAACCTAGTAATGTGAGAGATCCTTGGACCATGAAAAAAAAAGTGGAAAGTAAATGAAATTATCTGTTTTCATCAGCAAAACCAGACTCATTTGGCAAACAGTGATAACAAAATAGTCAAACCTTTTTCATCTTCAGGCTCCTCTTATAGTGCTGGTGATTTTGTCTGGGAGCTTTTACAGATCAGCTAGCTCTGCCTTTTTATTTTTGATGGTCACTGAGTCCTTTCTTTTCCCCAAAGGAGTGATTTTGTGTGTGTTTTTGTTTGTGGGGAGAGAGTGTGTGTGTGTGTGTTTAACCAATATTCTCGCTGACAAAGCCAGACTCTGCTTTCTGGCTGCCTCAGATTTTATGGCATAAAGTAGTCCTTCCTGGACGTTGATGCTTGTGAGGTTGGAAATGTTTTTCTGCTGGAAAAAAGCCAGAAAAGGTAGTTATGTATGGGCTGATGTTAGTGCAAAATGGTGAGCCTACTGTCTTCCAGTTATAGAAGGGTAAGTGAGAGATGAGGACGTGCACCTTGAACTCAGTATCTTGGAGATTGGCCACCCTTGCTCTCCTCCACAATCCAAATCAATTTCTGAAAAAGCCCTCTGGTCAGCCTGGGTAATGCACCCAGTCCTGGTGATGAGAACAGCTGAGGGAAAGGTCTTGATGAACAGTTTCATCTGGATCACAAGGATTTAGGAAGGACAGCTCCTAAAATGGAGGGAGGTAGGACAGACTAAGAAGTCACAGATTTTCCCTGCAATGACATTGATCCTTTGGTGTGTATTAATTAGTTCACAGAAGAAATGCCAAAGAAATTTGTGGATTACTGGATAGCATGAACTGTGGAGGAAATATTGCTGCTCTCCCTAAGTGAGAGACCTTTAGAGTGAAATGACTCATTTCCTCTGTTGAATGGAAGCACCATTCTTATATATTACTTTCACATTAGGACATTAATTTTTGAAAACTATACCAGACAGACTGTATTTTGAATGTTGACTTTGTACTCAGTATCTTCACATGAGTTACTTTTTTTGATCCTCACAGCCTCCAGAAGAGGTAGGTGATGTCTTCTTGGTTTTACTGAGACAGACATCCAGGGCGTGCCAGCAAGGGGCAGAACAAATCCTTGAATCCCGGTTGGTTTGACTTTAAATTTTGTGTTCCTTCCTCTATATCACAGCTTCTTGGGAGAGAACTGCCAGATGCTGCTGTTAATCAAGGTTGTGAAGTTGAATACAAATTGAGAAGGAAAGGAGAAAACTGCATCATAAATTTTGAAACAAAAGTGTAAAGCTTTTAAAGACCTTCAATATGTCACTGCTCTTAGGCTAAGTTTGTTGCCACATAATTAGGCCAAAAGTCCTAATTGCAGGTTGATTTTTAAACCTACATGTCCCTGTGCAGCAGGATTTATGCTGAGACATTTACTTTAATTAAATGGCTACTTAGTGAAAGGGCTTAAATATATATCATTTAAAGTGCCAGATAGTTTTTTTTCAGATACCCAGTCAACCAAGAACACATTTCATCCTCATTAACAATACATTGTATTCAACTAGAAATATTTGATTTGATTTTATTTAATTGAAGCCATGTGAGGTCATCAAAAATTATTTGAGGAGATTTTCTCTAATCTGTGGTTTCAGGGATGAGTAAATTGGAAACACATGGATTTACTACCTCATACTCTTCCACTTCAAATGTTAGACTGAGGCATTGGTACCATCTAACCCCCTGCACTGAGAGAACCTCATGCTGCCAAAATCCGTGGTTTCTGAAGCCTAGCCAATGACATGCAAAATAGCCTTTCCTCTGTCAAAAGCAAGAAAAAGCTTTAGTTGAAAAATTGGGTTAATATTGTTCAGTAAACACAATGAATTAAAACTAGCTCAGTTTAGCTTAGATTTTATACATCATCCCAACATAGAAGATTCTGGTGAAAAATGAAGCATATACTTACTTTAAAAATACAGCTGTCCTGGCTGGGCGCAGTGGCTCACTCCTGTAATCCCAGCCCTGTGGGAGGCTGAGGTGGGAGGATCATGTGAGGCCAGGAGTTTGAGACCAGCTTAGTCAACATCGCAAAACCCTGTCTTTACTAAAAACAAACATTAGATGGGCATGCTGATGCAGCTGTAATTCCAGCTACTCGGGAGGCTGAGTAATGAGAATCACTTGAACCCTGGAGGCAGAGGTTGTAGTGAGTAGAAATCACGCCACTGCATTCCAGACTAGGTGACAGAGAGAGACTCTGTCTCAAAAAAAAAAAAAAAAAAACCAAACCAAACCAACAACAAAAAACCCAGCTGTTTTTCTAGTCCCAGAATTCCAGTTTGGCCTCCTTGGAGCATCTATTTGGGAACAGGCATATATAAACTTCCAATCCAAGACTCTGCTTCTGTTGTTGCTGCTGGGATCGTTGGGCTTCTGTGTTCTAACGACTCTTCTAAAATTCCATTAAAAATGCAATTTCATTTAGACGTATGTTTTCACATTTAGTTTTTACAGCATTTCTTTTCTCTCTCGACTCTATCAGTGATAGATATTAACTGTAAGATGTGGTATATACGGAAGAGCAAAAGAAAACAGGAAAACAAAACTTGTAATCTAATCACTAAGAGATAAATACTACTGACTTGGTCTTTTTGCTCTTATTCTTCCTCCTTATGTACATACATATTTACCTAAAATACAGACTTGCTATCTCATTGTATGTGTTACTTAATGCAACAAAATTCTTTTTTTTTTTTTTTTTTGAGACAGAGTTTCGCTCTTGTTACCCAGGCTGGAGTGCAATGGCGCGATCTCGGCTCACCGCAACCTCCGCCTCCTGGGTTCAGGCAATTCTCCTGCCTCAGCCTCCTGAGTAGCTGGGATTACAGGCACGTGCCACCATGCCCAGCTGATTTTTTGTATTTTTAGTAGAGACGGGGTTTCACCATGTTGACCAGGATGGTCTCGATCTCTTGACCTCGTGATCCGCCCGCCTCGGCCTCCCAAAGTGCTGGGATTACAGGCTTGAGCCACCGCGCCCGGCAACAAAATTCTTTTTGCATGTTTGCCAGGAGCCAGGCACTATGCTTTGCCTTAGATATAGCTTTGTTTACTGTTTTTTAAAATTGTCACTTAATGTTATATAACAAATATTTCTCCAAGTCTTTAAAAATTATTTGAAATGACATTTTTAATAGCTGCATAATATCCCATCATTTTGATGTGCCATATTTTATCCCTGAGATTGGACAGTTGAGAAGCTTTTGCTTTTTCTGTAATAATCAACACTCCAATAAACACCCTGAACATAAATCTTTGTGCTCATCTCTGATCATTTCCGTATGGTAATTTTCCACAAGAATTATGGGGATACATAATATGAAAATAGCCCTAGCTCAGTGCTCTAGCTATGCTGTAGGGTGCTTTTCAGCTGCTACCTTCGTCTTATTCTTTCTTTGTCTTTAAAATGACTTGATTGCCTTAAAATGATTCTAAAATTCACATAGCGTTAGAGAAACCTAAAGTATACTTTAGAAAAGAGTCTATATTCCCAAAGATACTTATACTGTCTCAAAGGTGCTATAGTTTCCCAAATACACATACACATATAATATCTTAAAGTTGTTGTATGTGCCTTTTTAAAAAGAGAAAGAGTTCTAAGCTTGTTTACTTAAAAGGTCTCATAAATCAGATCATTAAAAGTGTGAGAATTGCCTTGTTTATGTAAACATGCAGTTGGTTTAAACTGGCTGTATAAATTGGTCAGACTGTGTGAACCAGTCTTCAAGAGCTTAGCAGTGTACAGTCCAATTCCATTATTTGCTCAATAATAGTTTTCTGCTTAGGCTCAGTGTATGAGGCTGATAATTGTGGCATGATAAGACTGCACAGTGCTCAAGTGTATAATAAGCAATGCTTAGCTGGAAGAGAGAAAATATCAGTGCTCTGCTAATGAGACGTTCTTTATATCATCTAATGAGTTGGTTTTATTTTAGGTAAGGCTAAATGTGTTTAATGTGTTTAA